GCCAGCCACAGGGGGACACCGTTCCAAAGAGACCACCAGAAAAGCTAACCAGGATAATAACCAAAGCACCTCCTCGCCAGCAATCCACAGCCAGATGTTATTTACATATGTGTTTATTTATATCAGTGTTTCTCAACCTTGACCATTTTAAGGCATGTGGACTTCAACTCCCAGAATTCCACAGCCAGCATTGCTGGCTGTGGAATTCTGGGAGTTGAAGTCCACATGCCTTAAAATGGTCAAGGTTGAGAAACACTGATTTATATCAAGGGTTCCCAACCTTTTCTATACCCTGCACCCCTAGAACGCTTCCGATATATTCTTGCACCCCTTTCCAAAGTCCGAAAGAACAGCCACAAATTATGCATATACCCTACGATTTTGAAAATTATCCCCCTGGAATATCGTCTCGCACGCCTGGTTGGGAAGCCCCGATTTATATCCTACCGTTACTGCTTTATAAAGAACTCAAGACAGTGAGGCGTGCCCAACAGATCTTCCTCCTCCTATTTTTCCCGGAGAGGGGGTCAGGAACTAGCCTAAAGTCAGTTTTAACGGCTAAGGTCGGACTAGAACTCCCAGACTCCTGGTGATTGGTCCAAAGTCACCCAGCCGGCTTTCGTTCCTAAAGCAGATCTCTATTTTCTAGCCTGGTGCCTTAATTGCTATTAGGAGTGTCCAACCTTGGTATAGTCCTGGGGACTTCGACTCCCAGAATTCCCTAGCCAGGATTCTGAGTGTGGAAGTCCAGAAGTCTGCACTAGATCAAACTGGCTCTAGATAAGCAGCGATTAACACCAAGATCAATGCTAAAGCAATAATCAAGCAGTAAACGACAGCGGAATCAAGGAACACTCCCGCCAACAATGAGGGCAAACAACTGTATATAAACTGAGAGCAAATCTCACTCCTTTTAGCACTGATGATGTTCCCTAGCTGGGTCATGAAACATCTGCAAGAAAGCAACCAAGCTCAGAAAGCGCCAAGGGTTCCCACTGTTGTCGTTGTCTTCCTCCTCCTCCTCCTCCTCCTCCTCCTCCTCCTCCACCACCTCCCTTCTGGCACTGATGATGTTCCCTAGCTGGGTCATGAAACGTCTTCCTGAATACAACCAAGCTCAAAGAGCACCACATACACCACGGGGTCTGTTCTTCAACTTTCTAACCTCAAACCTTCCATCTAGAGTCTAGACAGAGAGTCTGACTCTTTCCTGACCTTCTAGGAAGTCCAGGGGGAAGTTTAAATTTACCTTGTTGGCTTCATTAATAAGCTGGATTTTCATAGAGTCTTGGCTGAGCTGCAGGGATTCCAGCAGTGCCCGATAAGGGGAACTCCCAGGTTTTACGTTTCTGTGACGCCTGAAGAGGGGAAACCAGGGTTACTGGAGACAAACCACGCTACCTCTTCAAGTGTCTCACACTGCCAGTCTTGGGAGAGAAAGGTAATTTATCGCCCCCTGCCCCCAAGCACCCAATCTCCAAGATGACAGTCCCCATGCCACGCAGGGACAGAAGGACAATGACGTCGTCCTTCACAACTTCCTTCAGGAACAAATTTGGTGTGTCTCCATCTCTTTTCTTTTCGCACAACTTACTTGCAAAACGAACTCTGATCACAGGTCTTGAAGTTGCTTTTGTCGACTGCAGAGACCACAGCCAGGAGAAGCGTCAACCACACGACTGCTGACATCCTAGGTGGAACAGGAAGGATGTGTTTTCAAGCAATGCATGATTTGGGGCCCGGAGGCTAAAACATACAAAGAACGGTTGCAGAAATTGGGTATGTCCAGTTTAATGAAAGAAAGGACTAAGGGGTGACAGGATACCAGCGTTCCAATATTTGAGGGGCTTCCCCAAAGAAGAAGGGGTCAAGCTGTTCTCCAAAGCACCTGAAGGTAGGACAAGAAGCAACGGATGGAAACTAATCAAGAAGAGAAGCAACCTAGAACTAAAGAGAAATTTCCTGACAGTCAGAACAATTAACCAGTGGAACAACCTGCCTCCAGAAGTTGTGGGTGCTCCAGTACTGGAAGTTTTTGAGAAGAGACTGGACAGCCATTTGTCTGAAATGGTACAGGGTCTCCTGCTTGAGCAGGGGGTTGGACTAGAAGACCTTCAAGGTCCCTTCCAACTCTGTTATTTTATGAAATTGTGAGTGGGCTCCATGCCTAATAAAGATAAGGTTTATGGGTGATACAATAGCAGTCTTCCAATCTTTGAGGGGTTGCCCCAAAGAAGAGGGAGTCAATTTATTCTCCGAAGCACGAAAAGGTAGGAGAAGCAGCAATGGATGGAAACTAATCAAAGAGAGAAGCAACCTAGAACTAAGGAGGATTGTTAAGGATTAGAAGCCGCTTCTAGTCCAGTGTTTTGTCAACCTTAAGCACTTTAGATGTGGACTTCATGAAGTTCACTTATCTTGAAGCTATCAAGGTTGACAAACTGTATTCTTCACCAAAACAGGGGAAAGCCATGGTCATAAGGGGCAAAGGGCAAATTGCTGCTGGGGCAAAGATCAGTTCCTGTCTCCACATATTTTGCAACTACAAGATTTAAGAGACAAGGTGGACATAGAAAGTTTTGTACCTTCAAGCTTGAAAAACACCCAATTTTATAAGACTTTCCCAGAAAAGCTGCAGATATTCTCCCAAAAGTGCTTTTGCAAAAGGCAACTGCACTTTCTTGGGTTTTTTTTTTTTTCCTTGAAAAAAAGAAGCTTCTTCAGTTCTGAGAAAAAAAGTCCATCCAATCCATCCTGGCTGAGCAGGGAAGAGAACCTCCATGGCAAGGGGCAGTCTACCAGTAATCCTCAACATACGACCATAATTTATGTTGCTAAGTGAGACATTTGCTAAGTGAGCTTTGCCTCGTTTTACGACCTTTCCTGCCACAGTTGATAAGTTAGTAACACGGTTGTTAAGTGAATCCGGCTTCCCCCATTGACTTTGCATGTCAGACGGTCGCAAAAGGGGATCACGTGACCCCGGGGCGCTGCAACTGTCATAAATACGAGTCAATTGCCAAATATCTGAATCTTCGTGACCGTGGGGATGCTGCAACAGTCGTAAATGTGAAAAACGGTCACAAGCCGCTTTTTTTCAGTTGCCATTGTAACTGAACGGTCACTAAATGAACTGTTGTAAGTCAAGGACTGCCTTTATCTGTTGCAGGAGGTTTCAGGGCAGGGGATGGAGGCCGCCCTCTTATGGCTTCCTGGGAAATAAGAGCACGCTTCGATAGGCAGCCTGGTAACCTCTTTGGGAAGGCAGCTCCCATCATCCTTTCCCGGCTGGGGCTGATGGGAACAAGAGGGAAGGACGTTTTGCAAAGGTCTTGTGACCTTCTCCAAAGCTCTCCAAAAGGCTGAGCAAGGGGAGTCTCCACTGCGTGAATCGTTCCCTCCTTTGCAGCCTTGCCCGTGGCTGGGATTACAAGTCCCATCGTCCCCTTCGGACAAGCAAGCTGGGGGATGGGGTGGATCCAAATATTGGGGGGGAAGGAGGGCTTGGGTGAACTTTTTGGCTAGAAGGGAAGAAGCCCCCAAAGCGAGGGGGGCCTCCGGCTCAGGATGATGGGTAGTGTAGTGCTCCGACTGGCAAGGTCGGTCTACCTATAAGGGGCGTTGCAGAAGGGGAAGCCCTGGCGGGGGAAGGGGCGGGGAGGAGAAGGGAAGGAAACGGCCGTCTCGGAAAGGGGGAAAGCCATACGGGTCCCAGAACACAAGGGGGAAACTGAGGCACGGACGGGGGGGGAAATTAGGGGAGGGGCGAGGGGGCGCCACAAGTTCAAAGGAGAACGAGGTGGGGATGCAACAGAGGTTATTAAAGAGCCCCCCTCAGCAAACACGTCGCCCTCCCCTCAAAAAATAAAAATAAAAAGACCCCGAGCGAGCCTCGCTCTAACCTCCTGGTCGCCTCCGCCTCCGCCATTTTGGATTCTGCTGGAACCCGCCCCTCCTGCGCCTCGCGTAAGCCCCGCCTCCCGGGAGGTGGACCTCCCATTGGCGCCCTCCTCAACGCCCGCCTCCGCGCTCCGCCAATCGTCAAAGCAGACGGCGGTCCGGCGAGCCCCGCCCACACGCCCGCTTGCATTATTCCTGACGGGGCTTCCCATCTTCGGGGGTGGTGGTGGTGCTGGACGGGTCGATTCTTTGGGAGGGAAAAGGGGGGGTTCAAAGGAAGGCGATTCCAAGCGACCCGCAAGGGAGAGGGGAGGGCCGCCACCCCCATCATCCCCCGCTGGCTGAGGATGATGGGGGTGGCATTCCCAAGAGCCCTGCCTGGAAACAAAGGTTTGGCAATGCCTATCCTTGCTTGGTTTGATCACATTTTTTTATTAGGTTTTTACAGCACAATAAAAATAGTTTTTAAATTTTTTTAAAAAAAGCTAGGAAATGGGAAAAATTACAAAATTCTGACTTCCTCCCTTCTATTGAGTAACTGACATCTTATTCTTTTCCTTCCGTTTTTTTATCCTCCAAATCTGTAAATCATCAGTTCACTTTTCTTTCTTTCTTTCTTTCTTTCTTTCTTTCTTTCTTTTTCTTTCTTTCTCTCTCTCTCTTTTTCTTCCCACAGTCTCTGGGAGAGAGAGGAAATGAAATATTTTCCCACTATTCTAATTATAAACGAAATACAAAGAGGTGTGAGTTCCTGCTTTTATTTATTGTATTCAGAATCAACTGAAGGACGAAGATGGGGAATCTCCCGGCAATGATGATGTGGCTGTGTTTATGGAGTGTCATAGACACTCTTTGTGAAGAACTTCCTTATTAAAAAAATGTCTCCGCTTGGGAGCGATTGTTCAGAAAGAAGACAGGGAAGGTGAAGAGACGGGAGAAAAAAAGGAAGGACAGGAGGTGGAGGTGGGGGGGGGATGAGTGGAAGAGGAGGAGATGAGGAAGAGGAGGATAGGGAAAAAGGAAAGGAATAAAAAGAGGGAGAGGAGAAGGAAGGAAAGGAGGAGGAGGAGAAAAAGGAATGGAGGGGGAGAAGAAAGGAAGGAGAACAGAGAAGGAAAGGGAGAAAGGGGAGGAGGAAGAGATGAGGAGAGGAGAAGGACGAGATGAAGATAAGGGAAGAGCAAGAGGAGGAAAAAAGACAAAGGACAAGAAAACAAAATGCAAATACTCTATCCCTTCATGTATTTCCAATCTTCCCTTAGTTAGTCCTTCCTTAACTGCCAGCCTTCTTCCTTCCCAACCAGTTGAAGTGCAAGAAGAGGGAGAGAACCCCAAAATAAATCTTCCTTCTCACCCCTAAATCTCTTCCTCTGCTTGCACAATGAAGCAAACGGCCCCAAATCCTCTCATGGGCCTCTCTCCAATTTCCAACCCATGAAAGAGCTCCCAACTTCCCTCCCCCCCCCCCCGGCCTCTTCTTAATCCACCACAGCAAAGGTCCTCTCCGAACCGCCTCTCAGCCTCTTTTAAGGGTGGAACCGTCCCGAAAGCAAACCCAGCCGGTCGATGTTCTTATGCAGGACGCTGTGCAGGACGTAGAGGTATTTGCCCGCGTCGGTGTCTCGCGAAAAGTCCCGGAAAAAGAGCTCCGTCTTGGCGTCGAAGCTGAACTTTTGGGGCAAGGGGCTGTTGTCCCGCATGTAGTCCCAGACGCTGAGCAGGAGCAGGTGAACCTCAAAAGGAGCCAGCTGGTCGAAGATCTCGTGCATGTTGCTCAAGACGGGGGGCAGAAGGTGGCCTTCCCCCATGCAGGCCACCAGCGCGCAGGAGGCCTGCAGTGGCCAGGGAGAGCTGGTGGTGTCGTTCTCCCGGGACGCCTCCCAGTGGGCCATGAGCGTGGCCATCAGGCCCCGGAGCAGCACCGAGCAATAGCACAGGGCCGGCCTGCCGACAGCCACCAGCTTCAAGAGCTCGAAAAGCAAAGGGTTGTCTCGGAAGCAGCGTCCTATCCGGATGTCCCGTTCCACGGTGTTGTGAGTGTGTTCCTCAGGAGGCCAGGCCAGCTCGCTGTTGGTCACATCCGGGCACACCATCTCCACCAGCACCACCGCCACCATCTTGGCCGCCTCGGGGCTGATGGCGCTGCTCTGGGACGGCTCGGGGGAGCCCGAGCGTCCCGCCCCGCAGCACCGCAGCAAGAGGTCCAGGAAAACCTGGACGTTATGCGAGATCTCCTCCGGTTCCTGCCGATGGAAAGCCTGTGGCGGTTTCAGGCCTCTCCCAATCACCCCCGCGTGGAAGACCGACCAGACGCTGCCGGAGAAGTTGACGGCCGCCATGAAGCGCCGGTTGATGTCCATGAGGGACAACTTGGTCACCTCCAGCCCGGCGTCGTTCCTGGTGGCGGGGGGCTCCGCCGTTCCGCCGAAAAGCTCAGCGTTGCCCTGGTGCAAGGCTCCTTCCACCAGGTACTGCAAGATGGCCTTGCTGGCTGTGGGCGACGCCTCACTCAGCCCGCAAAGAAGCTTGCTTCCGTAGCTGATGCCGGCCGGAGATTTATCCCGCAAAACCGAGAAAAAATGGTGCACGGCGGACCGAATGAGGAAGAGCAAATGGGCCGGCCGGATGGCCTTGGGCATGGGGCAGACGGAAAGAAGCAAAGCGGCTGCTTGAGCCACCTCTGGATTGCTGTGCAGTAGCAGCTGCCCAAAATCGTACAGGTGGGAGGACACGGCCCGGCCCAGCTGTTGGCCCATGGAGGCCGGGCTCTCCCCCTCCCACTGCATGATCAAGGCCAGGTTCTGGAAGAGCTGGGCCATGTGCTGCTCAGAGAGAAAGCCTGCGTGGAGCTGGCGCACGCACTTCTTCACCAGGGTGGCCAGCAGATCGGTCATGCAAGAGCTGAGGACGGTGTACAGCTGGGTGGCGAGGCTGAGCTCCTCCTGGCTCTTGGCCAGGGTCAGCAGATAGAAGAGCCCCTCGCTAGCACAGCTGGGGGTGGAGTAGACCGAGAGCAGGACCAGCAGCTGGTGCAGCCAGAGAAACCTCTTCCTCTCCAGCTTCAGCGTCTCCGTGCAAAGCTCCTGCATGTGGGTCTTCAGTTCGTCCAGGAACGGCACTACGCGAGGAGGGACCTCCGCCAAGCTGGCCGAGCCCCGGTTGTAGACCAGCTTCTGCAGGTTGAGCAGCAGCAGCTGGATGACCCGGTCGCAGGCCTCCCGGACGCTGTCGTGCACCGCCAGGCCCGGGGTGGTGATGACCGAGGCTGGCATGGCGGTGTTGACCAGGAACTGCAAGATACGGTAAGCTCCGCCAGATGTCTGGCAGATGAGGTGCACCACAATGCTAACCATGTTCTCCAGCTCTTCTCGAGGCAGCGATGCAAAGTGCTGGTGCAGCTGGTTGAGGATGCTGGGCTTGAGAGAGTCCACCAGTTCGGCAGAGATGGTGCTCAGCAACGTGGGGGACATGACCGCCAGCTGCAGCAAGAAAGGGACGGTGGCCTTCTGCTGCTGGTCCCGGGTGGGGCCCAGACTCCTGTGGAACATCCTTAGCAACTCCTGCTTGATGCTTTCCGAGTGGCGAGAGGCCAGATGGCCCAGGATCCCGACCACCGAGGCGATCTTGGGAACTCGTTTGTCGGCTGCTGTGGAGCTGGGAAAAAGGAGGAGATCCGTTGAAGCTGTCCCGTGCACACAAAAGTCCTTCAACCCGCAGGAGAGGACCCGGTTGATGATGGTGTTGGGGAAGGAGGAACCGATATGGGCCACCACCCAATCGAAGTGAGGCGAGTGCTGGACGGAAGTGTCTAAGAGAGCATCCACGCAAGCATCTGGACAGGTGTTGATCATGGAGGACAGGCACTGGGTGTAAATCTCCATCAAGACCCGGGTGGCTTTGCAGGACATCCATAGCTGCAGCAACTCATTCAGGCTGCTCGCGTGGGGTACGTCATGCCGCCCGGCGTATTTGCTACTCAGCTGCCCCATCAGATCAATCGACCAGGAGGAAACCAGGGCAGCCCAAGCTTTGGGATTCATGCGGACAAACTCCGACAACACAGCTTGGATCTCTGACACCACGTCATCCAAGTTGGGGCCCTGGGAGCGGAGGCCTCCCATCCCACCGTCGCGGGTCTCCAGTTCCAGCAGGTAGGTGCAGACGTATTCATCAAAGACACTACGGAGGTGTTCCAGGACAGCACTGCGAGCTGGAGGCAAATTGCGCAGCAGTAAAATGGCACAACGAGCGTGTTCCTTGATGGTGAGTTTGTTCCCATGAACAGGGTCAACCCCACTAAGGAAAGCTTTAATCTCCTGGGCCAATTCTTGGGAACTGGAGGAAAAAGAAGAAAAGTGAAGTCGGGTTTAGAGCAAAGGAGAGGATGCAAAGAGAACCTAAGAAAAATCATGGGTGGGAAATGTATATGTCATACCACCGAGATTAGGTCTTTTTAAAAAACCTGATCTTGTTCAATGCCAAATACCAATTAAAAACAATGTCTGTATGTACCGGGAGAGAAATACAATTATAGAAACCATCCCCTTCTAATTTATAAAATGAATATGTCAGTCATCTTCATCGTTCGTTTTTCTTCTGTTCAATCATGTCGGATTCTCAGAGACTGCCTGGAGAAGTTCCTGCAGTTTTCTTGGAAAGATTTTCAGAAGTGATTTCCCATGGGCTAAGAGAAAGGGACTGCCCCAAGATCACCCAACTGGCTTCATATCCATGGGCAGAACTAGAACTCACAATCTCCCATTTTCTAGCCTGACGTCTTCACCACTACACCAAACTGGCTCTCATCCTCCTTTAAAAAAAAAAGGTAAAGCTAGATATTTATTGGCCATCATCGTCACCATCATCAGGAAACTCTGAAATCTAGGCATTTATTGTCCATCATCCTCTTTATCATTTTAAAAAAACCCCACCATTTATTGATCATCATCTTCATCCTTATTTCAAAAAAACCCCAACATTTATTGAGTCATATCCTCATTTTTTTTTAAAAAAATGATCATCTTCATCCTCATTTTAAAAGAAACCTATCATGTATTGATCGTTTTAAGAAGCCAGCCTTTATTGATCAACATAGTAAAAAAAAAAAAAACCCTAGTATTTACTGTCCATCCTCATTTTAAAATGCTAATTGCGAGCGTTAATTGACACTCCTTCCCCTCCCCCGTTCCTCCTCGGCTGCCCCCTTGGAGGAAGGGCTGGCAAACTCTTCGGGGCAGAGACTGCACCCATTTTACACCTTTGCAAATGCCAGAGATCACCATGGCAACCCTGAACGGTTGGGGGGTGATGCACCCCTTGGAAAGGGCCGCCCCGGGGATGGTTTCCGAAGGTTCCTTCCCCCCCCCCCAACTACCTGAGGGACGGAGGCGCGGCGGCCGGTTTGGGGCTCGGGGCGGACCCTGGAGGCCCCACCACCCCCGCCGGATCGCACAGAGCGGACATGCAGACCCCGGCCGAGACGCCTAGAAACGACTAAAAGCCCCGTTTCCCCCTTGTTTTCTTCCTTTGCGCCTGCGCACGCTAGGCCCGAGGATGGGGGAAGAATAAAACCGGCGCACCGAGAGCGTCACTTGGCAAAGAGTCCCACCCGGTTCTTCGACTGTGAAACGAGCGTTCCGAACAGCTCGAAGTGTATCTCTATTCAGAACTCATTGTTCCGTTTGGCTATTGTAATACCTATTATTATACAGACTCTGCCCAGTGCCTGTGGTTTATTAATCGTGGTTAATAACTTCATATTCAAAGCATATTCAATTGTTTTGCTTCGATGTTGGTCAGCTTCAGATCGATGTAACTATTTTGAACCATTATTAGATTGACTCAGTCCAGTCCCTGTAGAAAGTATATATATCTACCCATACACATACATAACACACATATATACATAATATATACATGTAATAACCTGGACCAGTCAATATGGTTTTCTGGACATTTTCATGAATTTTGTCCTTATTTGCTTCTTAGATAGAAGGAGAGAGACTGGTTTTCTGCTTGAGGCTGTTTCCTGGTTTCTAGGTTGATGCTTTTAACCAGTAAATCAAACTAGCTCCCATTTCATAGTTTAACTGTGTTTAGACAATAGTCACTATCAAATTCACCATGCCTTAGCACAATGTACCAACTAGCCATCTTCTTTCCTTCTTCCTCATACACACAGAAACAAATTACTAAAGCAAGATAATTTTTTTGTCAGTTTATTATAAGGATCAGAACACAGACCATTTGAACAAGTGAGAGCAGAAATCTCTGCCTGTGTACTTCCCTTTCAACTTAAATTGGTCGCCAGCACTGAAAAATGTTGGCGTCTCACATATATGCAGATTAATTATACACATGCGCAGTATTTCTGGCATAATCTGGCATGGCCGCTGAAATTCTTACACTACTCCACACTCTACATATAAAGCTTGTCTCTTATCAAGGTACAACTTCAGACTAGGCCAACTTTAAATTATTTTGTAACTCCTCAAATTCAGGAATTGGGAGTTGCTTGCCAAAGAGAAAAGGAAATAGACACACCTGTCTAACTGTGGTCCGATGGGTTTAAATTCCTTTTAAAAGTAAACAAATTTTATGGAGCTAAACTAGTTCAAAAGCTGATTTTTCTAGTTTTTGGTAACCTGTCTTTTTCTCCTCCCGCCCCCAGCCCCCCCCCACTGGGAATGCTGTCATTGGTAGGTTGGAAAAGAGAAAAGAAACATGGTTTCAAGATTTCAGAAGCCAGGTTCAGCTTTCCAATCCAGGTGTCACGTCAGGTTCCACCATCTCAACATCTGGACAGTCTAATGGACTTATCTTGTTTTTCTTCTTCTTCTTCCTTTTTCCACCCTGAGCTGAAGAAACATCAACTATACAAAAGAAAAGATGGTAACAGTGAAAAGTCATCACATGGTCAAAATCATAAAGCTACACTCTCCTGCATATCTCTAGTAGTCCAATTTTCAGCAAGTGGTCATCTACAGACAATCCTCGATTTACAACCCCAGTTGTGAATTTTGGTCAGTTAGCGATATGGTCCTTAAATGAGTCATATGGCCATAAAGCAAATCCATATTCCCCTACAGACTTTGCCAGAAGTTGGCTGGGAAGGTGGCAAATCACAATGACACGAACAGAGGACATTGCGTCATAAGTGTGAGACGTTTACCAAGCACCCAAATTTCAATCACGTGTACCATGGAGCTGTTGTGACAGTTGTAAATTTGAGGATCAGTCGCAAGTCACTTTTTTCAACACTGTCATAACCTTGAACCATAATTAAACAAGTAGTTGTAAATCGAGGACCATCTGCAGTTTTCATTGGTTGGAAATATTAGGATGGATGACGATCTTGGAAGATCTTTCTAACCTTACAATTCTAATGATCTAAGGACGGAATAACTGGGGGACAAAGCTGAAATTGTATTCTAAAAAACAGCAGTCCCAGCTAAGAGGGCGGATAACCTTAGAACTTGTTCTCAGCCACCCCATCCTTTTATCTTTATTCTTCCTTATTTGGCTATTGCTTTATTAGCCAATTCTCCTCCATCTACCTCACCTTTATAAACTCCAGGATCAGAGAAGGGAATTTTTTTCTGTTACTGCATCTTGTACTACTTTACTATTGCAAGAAAAAAAAAAAGGAAGTATAACAAAATCAAAGAATGCTTGGAAATGCTTTAAAGGCAACAATTAGGCATTGATCAGAAGAACAGGAACTCAAATCTCCTATGTCGCTCCCTCTGAGTGTGGAACACTTGTGTCTACCACCTTCTATAAATGATGCAAGCCCAAATTCCTTTCCCCCCCCCCCAACTAGAAGGAAGAGAATTTACCCTGCATTTCTGCTTTTTCCTTAGTGGCATGACGCAGTTGTTTAAGCAATTTTCTTTTCTTCTTCCCGGAGAGAGTAATGTTTGCCCGTGAACTAGATCTGGAAGAGAAGAAGGAAATTACAAACAGAGAAGAAATGTTTTAAGGTCAACTCGTTAATTTAGAAACGCCAAATTGGTCCTGTAAAATCTAAATCAATGTTTCTTAACCTCAACAACTTTAGAGGGTAGACTTCGATTCCCAGAATTCCCCAGCAAGCATGCTTTAAAAATGGGCACTTTGACTCCCAGAATTCCTCACCCAGCCTATTTTGAGAGGGACGGACTTCAATTCGCAGAATTCCCCTTCCAGAATGTTTTAAGAGGGATGGACTTCAACTCCCAGGATTCACCAAGTCAGAAAGACAACTTGAGATTTTTTTTATTACAGCATTTAATTGGCTTGCACATTTTCCTTCCCCAGAGACAAATAACCAATCAAAGCAAACACAACTCACGATCGCTTTTTCAGGTGGTGAACGGTGATAAGATCTTCATCCACCACAGCTCCCACAATCCGGTGTTTTTTTCTCTTCTCCTTGCTCAGGACACGTCGCCTTTTGAACAGTTTTTTCTGCAGCTCCTGATGCAAGAGAATGAGAAAACTTTACAAGGAGTTGCTGCCACACACACACACACACACACACAAAATGCAGAAAAATGGCAGTTGGGCATAATTAAACCCCTGATTTAACTGAGTTTAAACATGATGATATAGAAATACTGTAGAAAATATATAGTGTAAAAATATAGTTATAGATAATAGATAAGATAGAGGTAGAAATAGATAGATTCATATGACAGAAAGACAGACCGAGATAATAGAAAGATGATAGATTGGTAGATAAATGGTAGGTAGATAGGTAGGTAGGTGATGGATAGATAGATAGATAGGTAGGTAGGTAGGTAGGTAGGTAGGTAGGTAGGTAGGTAGGTAGGTAGGTAGACAGACACTGATCTAAGCTCCTTAACAAATAAGCACTTTATTTTTTTTTATTTTTTTTTAAATATCCTAGAATTACCGTCCGCGGCCGGTTGATCTTCCCGGAAGGAGCAACCATGTCGAAAACCACGTGGCCGATTTCTTTAGCGCAGGTTTTAATTTCCGGGTAGGCACCGCGGATCACGTGACATCGACCCCTTTTTTTTCCCCTCTCCCCACGCGGTTTGCTTCTTCATTCTGAATGGTCCAAAGAAGCGACCAATCAGAAAGGGAAGTGTGGTTAGCTCCTCCCTTTGCGTGCCGGTCTCCGTTTTTTATGAATCGGCCGCGTGGCGCCGTCGCTCTTTTTCGAATTTCTCCTTTGTGCAAAGGTAGGGGAAAGCGCGGTAGGTTTCCTTTCTTTTTTTTTGCCTCCCCAAAGGGATCGAGTGGATCCCTAGTCCGTGCTTCTCCTTTGATTCAAGAGAAGAGCTTGGTTTTGCTCTGCCCTGGAGAGAACTGATTTTTTTTCCCGTTTTTATTAATTAATATTCTTTCTCTGTCCCCTTCCTTCCTTTCTCTCTTTTCTTTCTTTTCCTTCCGTCCTTTCCCTTCCTCTTTCATTCTCTTCCTTCGTTTACTTCCTTTTCCTTCACTTTCCCTTTGTTTTCCTTCCTTTCCCTTCTTGTCTTTTCTTCCTTTTTCTTCCATCTTTTCTTTCATTCTTTCTTTTTTCCGCATTTTTCTTCCTTTCTCTTCCTTTCATTCTTTTTCTTCGTTTTCTTTTCCTTTCTCTCCTTTTAGTTCACTCTCCCTTTTTTTCTTCCCTTTCTTTAATTCTTTCTCTTCCTTTTCCTTTCCCTCTCTCCTTTTCGTTCATTCTCTTTCCCTTCCTTTTTTTCTTTCCCTTTCCCATTCTTTCTCTTCCTTTTATACAGATCTCGCTTCCCAGCAGGGCAAGAAACACAAAAAGATGGAGAAGGGCGTCCTTAATGCCCCCCTCCCCGAAAAAGTCAGGAGCCACGTGCGGGTGGGGAGAGAAATGCAATGCCGCGATCAGAGATCCACTGTGAGATGGTGGGAAGCCACGTGGAGGTCGGAGGAAGGCTGAGTCGCAGATCCCCTAGGATGGCGGATCTCAAAAAGATCCCGGAGTGCTGATTCTTCGCTAGCCGGTTCCGTGGGAGCTACAAGCCAACTCGATCCTTCATAGCTCTTTGCAGGGATGCTGCGTTGTAGGAGACGAAGGTCCAGGAAGAACAACAGGTGAGGGAGGAACACTTTAATGCCGACATTTGCTCTAAGGTGGGGAGCGAAGGGGATCCACTGTCTCTCTGCAGAAGATCCCCCAATAGGGATCTTCCTGCGGGAAAACCTAGGGGTGGCACTCTCTTAAATCCTACACCCATGCATGATCCTTTTTGCTCTCTTAAAAATGAGCCTGGGGCGGCCATGCCTCCCATCCTCCACTGCCCTGGCTGTGGACGATGGGAGGCACAAGCTAAAACATTAAAAGTCCACTGGGTGGTAGAAATTGGACTGGTATTACTTTCTCTTTTTCCCTTCCTTCCTTCCTGAAAAATCAAGGCCTCCCTTTCTTGGCATGATCGGGTCTCCCTATACCCGGTTCTGTAATGTGCGGAGGTAAAACATACTGACCTGTGTTATGTCTTCGGTGCCAGCGGCTTTTCCATCTGCTGGTTCTATCCTCAAGCACTGGGACACATTTGGCGCATTCCCCATGACTGTGCAGGTAGTCCTCAGCCAGGTCTGAGCCCCCGGAATCTGAATTTTGATCACGATGCTGCAGCGGTTGTGTGAAAAATGGCCACAAGTCCCTTTTTTCCCGTGCCCTTGTAACTTCAAATGTTCACTAGTTGTGAGTCAAGGATTGCCTTTAATGCAAACTTTATCCACACCTTTTGACTTTATTCCATTTCTACGCTACCCATCTCCCTTAAGGGATTCTGGCCAATTTACAGCCACATAATACTTGCAAAGCCATGAACAGAAGGACCGATTAAAAACAGTTAAGAAAGAGTGAAAATTTACTAGTAAAAAATAATAATTTGGATAATTGGCGCACATAAGTTTGGGAAAATGAGTTCGTGTAAGCTACTGGGTTACAAAGGATTAAGAGATCTGAGGTTTACATGCATGGGTAGAAAATGTGGTGTTGCCATTATTTTGCTAATTTAATTCTCCTGACTTTTTTTTTTTTTTTTTTGGACAAGGGTTTGGACCAGATTGAGATGTTGACCAAGGAAAATGAACTCCAGCAAATAAAATGAAAAAGACATCCAGGACTGACTTCAAAAGACTGTCGGGAAAAATATCTCCAATGAATTAATTTGATGTATTTCTTTGCCAGTTCCTATATGTACTTTTCGAGTGAAAGCTCATATATAATTTGAGAATCAAAGTTTCTTTGGTGTATAACAGTTTAAATTAAAGCCCAGTTTAATCTAGTTAAATTACAATTCCTAAACTGAGGCAACTTGAGTTTCTGTTTATTTGGATTATTTTCTGTTATGGGCAAGTACTTTTTTTCCCTTTTGTTTCTGTTTCTGTATAATAAATTGCATTTGAAAAGCTACGAGTTTCTGCTGGATAAATTACAACACATTTAAACTGCTGTTTCAGTGGCTGGGTTTCCTGGACAGCAAACAAAAATTAGCAGCTTGGCACATAATGGAAGGGGCTTTTTTTGTTTACTTTCACATAAAGCACTAATTTTGGTTTATTACTTGGACAATACAGCTGCTATTTTGGGAAATAAAGCCAGCAGCTTTTAAGACTCTGGATATTAGTTGAGAAAAGAAAATTTATTTATTCATATCCTGCCTTTATTTTTAAAAATAACTCAAGGGGGTAAACACATCCAACACACCTTCCTCCTATTTCCGCTGTACAATAACCTTGTGAGCTGGACTAGTCCCATCTTAGCCTCCATGGCTAAGATGGAACTAGAACTCTCCATCTCCTGGTGATTGGCCCAAAGTCACCCAGCTGGCTTTTATGCTTAAGGTGGAACTAGAACTCACCGTCTCCCACTTACTAGTTTGATACCTTAATCCATGGGTGTCAAACTCAATAGCATCATGTCACGAATCGTGATGTTTTTTGCCTTTATGGGGCTGGGGTGCACATGATGCATCCGGCCCACGGGCTGCCAGTTTAACACCCCTGCCTTAAATTATATGACCAAACTGACTCTTAATGCAGTTCAAGTAGTCCTTAACTTACAACCACATTTGAACCCAACATTTGAATAGATGACAAATTAACCTGGTGTATTTCCCAGGACCTTTCTTTCCTCCTTCCTTCCTTCCATTCTTTTTCTTTTCTTGTCTCCTTCTTTCCCTTCCTTATTTTCTTTTTCCCTTCCTTTTTCTTTCCTTCCTTTTTTTTTCTTTCCTTCCTTTTTTTCTTTCTTTCTCTCTTTCTTTCTCTTCCCTACACTGCTGCAAATACTCCCTCCGTAATTCAGGACCCCACTGAGCCGGGAAGGTGGCATGGATGTTCAGGCCTGAATTGCCCTTGTGATGCTCAACCATGGCTGCAAGGGGGGGAGGACATCTGTGCCCATCAGGCTGGGCTGGCGGGACATGTCTGGGAGATGCCCCAGCAGAGCTGGGCAGGAAGCAGCCCAGCCCCCCCCCCCAGCCCATCTCTGCTCTCCAGGCCTGTTGTGCAGGCAGAGAAGGGGGGTGCCAGTGCCCCCCTCGGCCAGCTGAGGAATGACAGGGGAGGAGAGTGACAGAGAGGGTGACTCACCCTATGCAAATGCTCCACCAACGGCCGCCGGGACAGCCAGGTGGCATGATGGGAAACGCTCAGTGGGGAGAGAACCCCCATTTTCACCCCCAAATCGCCCCGCAGGAAATGCCGTTGCAGTCCAGCCCAGGCAAAGAGCCGAGCAGAATCAATCCATCGATCTTAAACTAGGATCCCTTTGCAACCTGATCGTGCTCCCCGTAAACTGGAGAATCCCTCGCACTGGAGTCTCGGGCCCCATCCGCCTGTCTCAGGTATCGCTTCTCGGCCTTTTGGCTAAGATCAAGTGTAGTATCTGTTCTTATCAGTTTAATATCTGATATGTCCTCTATTTGAGGACTACATATTAAATGGATTTTTGGAACTGGGAGATGGAATAGGGGCTTGCTCCGTCCACTCCAAGCATCGGCCTGGTATTGCAGTGCCTCCAGGAACGGTGCACCTCCCCCTGGGAGGAATCTCATGGTCAAAAAATAGATCTTGCATCAGGAACTCCTTATGGGATGGATCCTTTGCTCAGGGATCTGCCCACAGCCTCTATCTCTCTAACCAAGGTATTGGCCAGCTTGCCACCATCTGCACAGAGATTGTGATGGGTGGATGGAGGAGGTAAAAAAGGCTTTCAATACCTAAATAGATCAGAAGAGGATCCAGTTTGAGGCTAGGAGGCGGTTCTCAATTGAGGAGTGGGATAAAAAGGCTTTCAATGCCTAATAAGATCAGAAAAGGATGTAGTTTCAGGGTAGGAAGGGTTGCTAAATTGAGGAATGGGTTAAAAAAGTTTTCAATACCTAAATAGATCAAAGGATCCAGTTTCAGGCTAGGAGGGGGTGTTCAATTGAGGAGTGGGTTAAAAAGGCTTTCAATGCCTAATAAGATCATAAAAAGATCCAGTTTCAGGCTAGGAGGAGGTATTCAATTGAGGAGTGGGTTAAAAAGGCTTTCAATGCTTAATAAGATCATAAAAAGATCCAGTTTCAGGCTAGGAGGAGGTATTCAATTGAGGATTGGGTTAAAAAGGCTATTAACGTGTAGTCAATCATAAAAGGATCCAGTCTGAGGCTTATTAAAAAGGCTTTAAATGTGTAATCAATCACAAAAGGATTCAGGCTCAGACCACAAATAGGTGCTTAGTTTTTGAGAGATCTCACGGGTTTAAAAAAGCAGATGGAATGAAATACAGGAGGGGGAAAACTCTGACAGAGAGCACGCGACTGCCCAGATCCCTTTAAGGTAGTTTTTGGAGCTGGCGTCTCCATAAAAATCATGCATGTGGGGACTGCAAAGCCTCTACCCTCAATAACCGCCACACCAGGGCTAAAATGAGCATTTGCAGCAAACCAACTCCCTTCTAATCCTGAAGATGTTACCTAGTTGGGTTGCGAAACGTCTGCAAGAAAACAAAAAAGCTCAGAGACCACTAAGGACCCCTCATTTTAAGGTTTTACATTGTTTGGGTGCCGTTTTAGGAAGTTGTAAGCCACCCAGGCCGTGAGACCAGCGACATCTACATTTAATCAATAAATAAAAAAACCCAAATAGTACTATTAAAAAAGTTGATTTGCCCAACGTAGAAAGGGAAGGAGGAACGGAAACCGGAGACCACCCGAACGGAGAAGGGGAAAATGTTTAATGACGGGAAAAAGGGGCTTACACAGACACGCGGTTCCAGCAAAAGACAACAGGGAGACCAGTGGATCTTCAGCGATGCTCCCAACTAATTAGGGACGCTGCAAATAGTCAATCTTTCCCATAAAACAGCAGCCTGTCAACCTTTCTTTGTGAGGACCAGGGAGAACACCAGATAGAACAGAAATGAATCCTCAGTTCAGGAGACCTGGAGAAGAGAGACAAAGGCAAGGTTAAAAATGGCTCTGTGGGAAACTGCCTTTCTTTGCAAGCCCAAAACGGTTGTTTGGTGATAAGCCCATCGACATTCGGGATGCTCGGCAACTGGCATGGACTTATGACGGTTGCAGTGTCCCGGAGTCACGTGATCTCCTTTCCCGGCCTTCTGACAAACAAAGCCAATGGGGAAGCCCGTTTCACTTAACAACCGTGTGACTGACTTAAAAAACGACAGAGGTTCAACTGTGGCAAGCAAAATCCTAAAATGGGGGGGGGAAGAAGCTCACTTAACTGTCTTGCTTAGCAAACAGAAATGTTGGCCTCACTTGCGATCGTAAGTCGAGGATTACCTGTTCTGTCCATTTCCACCCCCCCCCCTTTTTTTTTCAAAAGAAGGATGCCCAAATCGGAGCATATTTTAACCATATGGCAAGCAATTCAAAACACGTACCCAGGTAGTCGTCCATCAGGGATCCAATGGCAAACTGCAAAAAAAAAAAAAAAAAATAGAGGAAGAAAGGGAGGGAGGGAAGGAGGGAGGGAAAGGAAGGAAGGAAGGAAGGAAGGAGGGAGGGAGGGAGGGAGGGAGGGAGGGAGGGAGGGAGGAAGGAAGGAAGGAAGGAAGGAAGGAAGGAAGGAAGGAAGGAAGGAAGGAAGGAAGGAAGGAAGGAAGGAAGGTTAAAACTGCTAATGTGACTCCATATTATCCCCAATTTCCAGAACAGGAATTCTGTCCCCCTCTCTCATGGAAGACCCCAAAGAGCAGAACATACAATTTTTACATCCAAAAGGGAGTCCGCCTGGAGGAGGATGAATGAACAGGCGGGACCCTGAACAGCCAAAATAAGATCGAGAAAGGGCCAACGTTCAAACGATGCAACTCACTATATCGTTCTTGTCCACCCGGGTCCCCACAATCTTTAATCGGATATTATCTTCTGGCTGGATAACAATGTCCTAGTTTTGGAGTAAAAAAAAAGCAGAGGGAACATCACCAAGACAATAAGAATTAATGTGGTACAGTGGTTAACACTGTGTTTCCCAAACAAACCTTAAAATGGGTGGACTTCAACTCCCAGAATCCCCTAGCTAGCACACTCTAAGATTTGTGGATTTTAATTCCCAGAATTCCCCAACCAGCAATCTTGAAGGTGGACTTCAACTCCCAGAATCCCCAGCCAGCATGCTTTAAGATGGACTTCAACTCCCAGAATTCCCCAGCCAGCCTGCTTTAAGGAAGGAAAAAGACTCACCTCATCCACAGTCTTGTAGCAGGGCGGATTCGAGTTAGTATCGTACTCCATTTCTGAAGGAATCGACTGCGGAGAGAACCGGGATCTAGGATCAACTGCTGGCCAGGGATCCTTCCCTTCCCTGGCCCGTTCCACATAGAACCGTCCACCCTGCTACCCTCCTCCCGGTCCACTCACATGTCGGGATATGAAACAAGACATCGGTCCGATCTCGGTGAAGAGGCCAACCTGGGTTGAGTTGCAGAAGCCAGAAATTAAAATAGGGATTTTTTTTCAGGGAGGTTTCTGGGGGAAAAAATTCTCTTTAGGTCTCGGAAGGTGCGCTGGGCCTTACCTTGTTCACCTGAGTGACAATGGCGTCCACCACTTCACCCTTAAATGGGCGGAAGACAATCGCCTTGTACTTGACCGGGTAAAGGACAAAGCCGCGTCCCGGCTGAATCACGCCAGCTCCGATATTGTCGATGGTGGTTACGGCGATGACAAAACCATACCTGGAAGTGAGAGGTGAATCCTGACATTAAAGCTAATTCTCTTTCCCCCCCCCCCAATGAATTATTGGCTGGTTTCCTTTTTTTCCCCCAGAGATATTCAGATAAGGAAAGGTGGTTTGGTGCAGTGTTAAAACATCAGGCTAAAAACCAGGAGATGGTGAGTTCTAGTCCCGCCTTAGGCATGAAAACCAGCTAGGTGACTTTGAGCATACGGTGAGTTCTACTCCCACCTTAGGCACGAAAGCCAGCTAGGTGACTTTGAGCCAATCACCAGGAGACGGTGAGTTCTAGTCCTGCTTTAGGCATGGATGCTGACTGGGTGACTTTGTCCATTATAATCTCTCTCTCTCTCTCTCTCTCTCACACACACACACACACACACACTCCCTTCCTCCCTGCTTTAGGCAGTATAAAACTCTAATAAACGTCAAACAGATTGCTAATTTTGTGAACAGCAATTCAGACAATACATTGCTGCGTTTTACAGATAGAGCTGTTTTTTTATTATTATTATTATTATTTTTATGCAACTCGTTACTGGTACAGGAGACCAAGCCTTTCCCCCCCCCCCGGAAATGGACCCTCATTCCTTCTTTCTTACTTGCCGGTGCAGGTCCCTTCCACCTCGGTGAAAAGCTTTTGCTTCACCGTGTTGAGAAGATTGGGCCCGAAGTAACGAGGGTGTAACAGGATTTCATGCTCCAAGGAGATCTGGAGGCAAAAAAAGCAGAGAAAGCTTATCCAATCAGCTACGACGGAAACGAACCATGCACCCTTTATTTTATTTTTAAGTCCCCCAATCTTCCTTCTGCTACTCCATCGTCCTGGCTTATCCAATAAGCTACGATGGAAACAAACCCTGCACCCTTTAATTCTGGTCCAAAAGGGCGATTTCCGGAACCAAAACAGCCCAGAACCTGCTGACATTTTTTTTAAAAAACACGTTTATTATAGACAAACAATGTCCTTAAAAAAAAGCATGTTGGCCCAGAAAAAGCTGAGATTGACATGAACGTGTGGGTCAAACACGTGCAAAAAAAGCGTTTTGTTGACACACGCGAACGCACAAGCGGCTTTTTTTCCACTGTTTCCCGCTCTATGCATCCCCTGCACACGCCCTGGCGCGTACACGCGTGACGCAGATCCACACGAGCCCGCTAAACTCACGTGATAGAACATCCTCCCAAGCGGAGCGCTTCCCAGCCGGATGGAATGTTGAGACGCGCCCCCCCTCCCCAGCCGCCGCGGCTCAATGTTGCAACGTTCCTCTCCGCTGATTGGCTGAGCCGCGCAAGCGCCTTAAAGGAACATGCGCCGTTGTTTGCTCCACTGCGCAGGCGCAGTAGCACTGAAACACACACGTTTAGGCCCGTTTCTGACTTTATTTTCATTCAAAGCAAAGGGGACCCCTGAAAAAAAAAAAGGACGGGGACTCCCTAAATGGAAATAGAGGCTGACTGAACAGCCATTTGTCTGAAATAGCATAGGGTTTCTTGCCTGAGCAAGGGGTTGGACTAGATGACCTCCAAGGTCCGTTCCAGCTCTGTTACAGGTAGTCCTTGGCATACAACAGTTCACTTAGTGACCCGTTCAAAGTTAACTTTCAGCACTCCAAACTGGCTCTGAATTAAGTGGAGTACAAAAAAGAACACAAGGCAGACGATGTTAAAAATGTGTTTATTGTAAAAGCTATTTGACTTATCAAAAATAAACTCTGCCAAGCTATGTCCTTTCAAACTGCTTCTAGCACATTCAGATTAAGGCATGTAATTCCCCATTTCTAACACAATCCCTGAGTTTCCAAAACAGAAATTTCAAAAGATGTTAGCCATAAGAAATAAAACGGACAATCATTTTTGGCTTG